GGAGTCATGCTCTGTATGTACTGTCTTCCTCTGTGATTTATTACAGTGTAAGATCTGTAAATAATGAATCGGGAGTCATGCTCTGTATGTACTGTCTTCCTCTGTGATTTATTACAGTGTAAGATCTGTAAATAATGAATCAGGAGTCATGCTCTGTATGTACTGTCTTCCTCTGTGATTTATTACAGTGTAAGATCTGTATGTACTGTCTTCCTCTGTGATTTATTACAGTGTAAGATCTGTAAATAATGAATCGGGAGTCATGCTCTGTATGTACTGTCTTCCTAGATGTGATTTATTACAGTGTAAGATCTGTAAATATTAGACTGATCACCTACATACTTCATATCTTGTTGTATTTTTAATGATAATAATATTTAGGGAATTTCTCAGGTCCTACACTGTAGTGTGTCATTTTAGAGGAACCCAATTTGATTTACAATAGAATTGCTGGGTTTGTTTATAATTGATATATTTAAAGACATTTGTATTTTGTGATTAAATGTTGAATTTTGGTTCACTAATAGGTACAATAATATATGAATATAACCATTTGTGGGTTAAGTATTATATATAGCTTACATCATCCGAGAGAAAATAAAATCCATTATCTGTGACTAAGCATGGGGGGTATATATATCATCCTGTCCATTCGTCTCTCCATGAACCTTGTAAGCACTTGTCCTCTTGAACCATAATTGGTTTTTTTTGTAACTTGACACAATAAAATGTGCATGAAAAAAGAAATTTGCAATTGGAATATTTTCCTGGAGTTGTAGCCCATGAAACTTTGATTTTATGCTCTAGAAACCTTGTAAACTTTATATGAAGGTTCCCCTAGCAAGCAAAGTCTGAATGATGCGGAGGTATGTCTTTGTGAGCTTTATTTCTGTAAAGAAATATATCGGACCCTTGCATAAGTCTAAAGTTGTGGTAACGTTTTTTATCCACTATGAGCTGATCAGTCAGTGATCAGCTGTGTTGTCATGTTGCACATTGTAACATTTACAGTACAATACTCCAATGTAAGATCTATGATTCTCAAATAAAAATTAAAATGTGAAACTAAGTAACTTCATCACATGTCTTACATGTACATGAAATACACTGCAGGTTCCAGAAGGGTTATACAGCTGCAAGAAAGAAAAAATCATAATGTTGCTTGTGAACATGTTCCTAAGCAATAAATACCATACATCCCTAGGAAATGAAAACAAAACATGTTGCTAGGATATTGAAATGTTTCTTCGACACAGACAAGAATGGACAGTTGCCTACTATTTAGATGGGTACATACTTTCAGGCCTGTCATATCAGGAAAATAGCAGGATCTTATAGGAAAAAATTAAGGAGATTACAATGTTTATATTGTTAGTTCCCCTTGCTCAGCACACATATAGATTGTTTCTGATATAAATGGTTCTCTGTTTCAGTGGTTCCCTCAGGAGCAATCCAGATAACATCTGATGGCACGTCAGTGGCGCAGGGTCTCCAGACACTGACTATGACCAACGCCAGTCCGACGACATCAGCTGCAACAGGCGCTACCATTGTACAGTATGCACAAGGACCGGATGGACAGTTTTACATACCAGGTATAGTACCAAAACATCTTATTTACACATTTCTAGGAATTCATCTACTAGTCTTTCAAAATGTAAGCATCGGTGGCCAGATTGAAAAATTCATGATTTTCAGTCACAAATTAATGGAGTATATAATTTTTCTGGGTTTATTGTAAAGTAGTTGTCTCGAGACATTTTATGGCTTAGGCATAGTAACACTTACAGTGTATCTTAAGAAGTATTCAAGCCCTGTTTTTAGAATGATTTACATGTACACATGGTAATTGGTTGATTCAATCATCTTTTAGGCACAGTACAAGCATACCAAATAGCGACATCTGGATCTCTACCACAGGGTGTTGTGATGGCTACGGCTGGAAGTCCAATGTCTAGTCCTACAAACATGGGAGAGGAGCAGTCGCGCAAACGTGAACTCCGACTTCTTAAAAACAGGTACACAGTGTTAATTACACCTTTCCATTGCAAACATTTGAAATGATTTCAGTTATCTTAGCCTTATTGTGCAAGTCAGTGTTAAAAGCAATGAACAAATCAAAATTTCAATATTTTATCATATTCCCACAATATTTACCTTTGCTGTGTGCTGTGGTGAGGTTTCCCAAGCAGTGATGGTTGGTTATCAAAGACACCAGGTTTTGAAAACTAACCAATAAGAGTTAGATAAACATGAAAATCAATCATCCTGAGTTTCGGGACATCAATTATTATGTCTTGAAAACCATATCTTGGGAACACATTATTCCTGCCATGAGCATGTACCCTAGGAATTATTATAACACTGTTTCACTGCAATTAATACCATAATATTAGGATGCTTTGGGCACCAGAAACCCAGATTTTGTTGTTAATTAAAGGTATTGGTGGTACAGAAAGAGTTAGTGTTATGTTAAAGAAAAGGAAAGAGTATGCCATATATTCCTATAGGAAAGTTTGACTTATGCTAACACTGATTGGAAATTTATTTATGTTTTCAGGGAAGCGGCTCGAGAGTGTAGGCGAAAGAAGAAAGATTATGTGAAGTGCTTGGAAAACAGAGTTGCTGTTCTTGAAAATCAGAACAAGACATTGATTGAGGAGTTGAAAGCGTTAAAAGAATTGTATTGTCAGAAGGAGGGATAGAGAAGGTCAACTGTGATACATGTCCATTATAATATTGTGTGGTTAATCCTGTAAGGGGACCACAGAGGCTATTACCGAGCTACGCAGGAAGGTTGAAATCCCAATGACCTTTAACCGGTGAGTGCTAGCCACATGGCACCCTGCTGGCCACGGGTACGCCATGTACATCTGTGTGCGATGTTGATCGTCTCATACACTGCGTCCTGACCACTACACCCACACTTGGTTGTTGAGGCAAGATTTCCGCTGGAAGTTTTCACAATGTCTGTTGTCGTAAAACTATAAAGTCGACGGATTGTCCAGATTTGTTGGAGAGAGTAATCTTGTGACTACAGCATAGAACTTTGATGGCTTATACTTAACGATTCCTGTTAACACTTGATGTCTTCGAAGAGGTTCTAAAATACATTATTTGATGTTTGTACTTCCGTCAGAAAGTAGGAGGAATCTGCTGACATATCCATATCATCTGCTTGAACTCCAAAATATGGATTCCAGAAAAAGAAAATGGTGTACAATTTATTAAAACATTTTACAAAATAAATTCATTCAAAAGTGGTAATATGAAGACATCAATTTGTTGTAACAAAGATTTAATATGTCGGCATTAAAAGTAATTTGAGAAAGGTGTACATGTTGATTTAATATTTTTAGAGCAGCACAATACTAAAGGTATCTATTTGATTACAATCTAAAAGTACAACTAGAAGGTAGGAACTATTGTGTGACAACAAAATACAAGACTACAGCTTTTATGACATACTTTTAGGGTGTACAATTAATTTATATATTATAGATCTGAAATTATGTATTTTGAATTTTATTACTTGTTACCGCACATGTTATCCATCTTAAAAATACATGTCCATTGTAATTCATTTGCTATTGATATTTATGAAAATGACAGGAACTTGATATCTCTATTGACACGTATAATGTACTTCGTCTAAATTTAACTGAAGTTAGGGTGCCTTATATGCTCCATGGCAAACCACTATCATGCATTAAGAATTGAGGGTCGTCTATTAGATGGTTATGAGTTGTTGGATGAGAGTGTTTTATGGTGAAGTTTACTTGTTGTATTCTTTGCTCTTCTGTTAAGTTTTGCAGACATTTTTTTATTGTAATCATTGTCTTTATACTCACATTGAATAGAGTAACACACAGGATTATCTTGTGTCGTCATATTTAACATTTTGTTTGATGTTTTATCATTATTAAAGTCTCGTACATGTGGTTTGATTTTGTGATACATTTTAATTTTGTTTCATATAAAGTGCACAGTGAAAGACAGTATGGATTCTTATAAAGAGCAAAACTCTACAAACTAAAATGCATGTATCATTAGGTTTGGAGTAATATCGATTCCTAGATTGGGTATGAGTGATTTTTTAATTGTCAGATGTGCAGTTGACAATTTGATTTCTTAAGGATAAAAATGGTCAACTCAACCTTGCAGTATAACCTAAAAATATGCTTATTTAATATAATGTAAAATAATTCCATTGGATAAAATGCTAACTTGGCAACTTTTAGTAAATAACGTATAAGTGAAAGACTTAGTGTTTGCAGTCAATTGTGTCAAGCTCTGTCTGTTCGTCCATATTTTGGTTTCAGCAGATGACTTGTTTAATATCACTCAATTTTGATGAAATTTAATAAGCATGTAAAATATATAAAGACGGAAGCTATGTCCAAAGTTAAGCAAAATCTGTGTATACTTAATTAACAATACTGCAATCTGATTGGTCGACAAATTTCTTCTGCACAATAACTTGTACAAATTTGCACCCAGATTCTGATGAAAGTCTATCAATATTTATTATTGTCGTTTTCGTTCTTGTATGCTCTAATGTTGTCTGCCAAGATGGTTCGGATGGTCAGGTGGTCCTTTTTTATTTTGACAATCTGTTATCACTGGCTCCCAGAATGTATTGGGGTGATCTTTCACAAATTTCATGTGCCGCTCTTTGTGCATGACTTATATTGAGGCTGATCAGAAGAACAAAATGAAATGGCAATCTTTGATTCTAACAGTTAAAGATTGTTATTGTTATTGTTATTTCTCAAAGAGTACTGAAGGGATCTTGCTAAAGGGGAGGGGGCTTATATCGTTGCCCATGTCCATCCAATCCTTTCATAGTCCTGTCCCGTCTCGTCCCATCTCAATTTAATGCAACTCTAGCAACTTCATTCTCGAACAGATCAAACATTCTCTGACAGATTTTAATCAAACTGGGTTTTTTACACAAATGTCAAGTATGAGCTTAACGTTATTTATAGGAAATCCTCAACCAATTCTGTGTCATCAGTCCACAAACTTTATTTCCTGATGGTTTTTGATGAAAGATTTATATAAATGTCACGTATGACAAAACCTTGGACACCTTTCTGTTTCAGGGTTTGAAGGCCAAGGTCACTGATGCTATATATAGAAGGTCATAAACTGATCCAATGTAATCACTCTAGCTGCTTCATTTCTTGACAGATTTTTTTATCAGAGTCTATACAGATTTCAGGTTTGAGAATACCTTGGATGAGTTTATGTTTCAAATGTTACAGCATGTTGCTATTTGTGAAAAAAGTTCTCCATTTTTTTCCATTTATCAACTTGAAGAATGATAATACCTGGAATACATACATATTTCAGGGTGCCAAAAATTCAATCAAAGTCGTTGCAACTATTTATTGAACATTATCAAACACTGAAACTTATTTCACATGATGGCGAGGGCATTCATATCTTGCAGACATTTTCCAGTTTATCACTGCTTCTCAGAAAGTACTTTGGCATTCTTTCTAAAATTTCATATACCGGCTTCCCTTTGGCCTGAGTTACATAACTTCTATATTATTTAACCTGGAAAAACCAGATTTGGTGTACAAGTACATCTTGTGATGGTAGAGTGTCAAGTACAAAAAATCAATCACTGACCTGTGGTTTGACCTTTGACTACAACCTTTGAAAAGTTTGTCTGGGACATATCTTTTATACTATTTCACTTGAAGGAACCAGATTTGGTGTATGCATCTTGGGATGGCAGAGTTTCAAGGGCAAAAAGTAGGTTACTGTGACCAATGGTTTGACCTTTGACCTCAACCTTTAAAAAAGTTTGTCGGGTGAATATCTACTATTTCACATGGAGTAAGCAGGTTTGGAATGCATGTACAGCTTGGGGAGGAAGGTCTAGTGCAAAAAAGTTGGTGACTCTGACCTATGGTTTAAGTTGTCCAGGACATATCATTTATACTATATCACTTTAAGTAACCAGACTTAGAATGCAGTTACATCTTGTAATTGTGGAGTGTCTAATACAGTGCTTTGATAACCTTTCTCTAGACTATTTCACCTGAAGTGACAGGATTTGATATGAATTTATGTCTTAGCTGGCAGAATATGGAGTTCAAGAAGTATGTCACTGTAACCCACATGTCCTGAGCTAGGTGTCACTGTAACCCACATGTCCTGAGCTAGGTGTACAGCCCTGCCTTGCAATACATTGTCTTGTTTTTCCATAGATAACTCAACTTCAAGTTAAAATAAAACCCAGCCTGTTTTAGCAACCATTTCCTTCCAAAAACAAGACCAGAAGAGGTTCTTCAGGGTTCTGACATTGACGACGACCGGAAGGAAAGAAAATCATACATTTGCACGTTTGTTCTTGAGAAGTTTAAACAGAATGTTTATTTCGAATTAAAAAAAAATCCAGAGAAAAAGCCTGCTTATTATGGCTTAAAAGTTTCTATATATGCCGAAATCTTAGGTTAAGTTTTGTTAATAGTTTTTCAATTTACTATAAATACAACATTCCACATTCTAAGAGGATGGTGATATTTGGTTCCAAAAAGGCAAGCTGTCAAACATTGTTGCTTGGCAGAAAGAATGGGAAAATAAATAAGTTTTGGAAAAAAAATCGCCTATTTATTTGGACAATTTTCATTATTCTTTGAATATATTGGCTTGTTCCCCGCAAACTCTTTTCCCGTCTGAACAAAACAATTATGCAGGGTATATGGTAATACGAATTCAGTATGAAATTTATGAAAATCCCAGAGGCCTATTTAACAAAATTATGCACATGTATAAAGATTGATAAACCACAATTAATGACAACAGTTTTAAGACTCTTACCTGTCAAGTTTGAATGACGTCAGGTGCAAATTTATATAAGTTTTAAGGATATTATCCAATACTAAAGAACACATTCTGGTGTGAAAGTATGTCAAGTTTTGTTTGAATTTCTAGCGGTACTATATAAATATGTTTTTGATTTTTTTTTAAAAAGACGCTTAACTTAGTTACGTGATTAAAACAATAAGAACCACACATTCATTCCTTTATATTTAGTAGCAAAATAAAGCATAATATGTTTTTTCTTTTCTTGAGTTGTATGAAGAATAAGGGTAAGTTGTTAATAGGTCAATGAAGGGAAACATTGAAGCTTTAAAAAATAACGGGTACATACATGTGGGTGTCCATTTCGAAGATGTCAAATAAATGTTGTATTTATTGCAGAATTAGTGATTCATTATAACTGCCTGGGGAGAGAGCTTTGTTTCCAACATAAATATCTAGATGCTTTATTTAATTTGGCTGTAAATGATCTGTGTATCATCCTACAGAACTATCATCAACATGTTTTTGATAAAATGTATTAAGTAAATTATTTCTTTGTCCTGTGGTTTGTTCAGCTTATTATGTCACCTAGGCCACAGGGCCAATAGGACCTATGCTGTGGCGGACAACCTGGTTCACAGGGCCAATAGGACCTATACTGTGGTAGACAACCTGGGCCAATAGGACCTATACTGTGGCAGACAACCTGGGCCACAGGGCCAATAGGACCTATGCTGTGGCGGACAAGCTGGTCCACAGGGCCAATAGGACCTATGCTGTGATGGACAACCTGGTCCACAGGGCCAATAGGACCTATGCTGTGGCGAACAACCTGGGCCACAGGGCCAATAGGACCTATACTGTGGCGGACATCCTGGTCCCCAGGGCCAATAGGACCTATGCTGTGACAGAGAACCTGGGCCACAGGCCCAATAGGACCTATGCTGTGATGGACAACCTGGTCCACAGGGCCAATAGGACCTATACTGTGGCGGACATCCTGGGCCACAGGGCCAATAGGACCTATGCTGTGACGGAGAACCTGGTCCACAGGGCCAATAGGCCCTATGCTGTGGCAGACAAGCTGCTCCACAGGGCCAATAGGACCTATGCTGTGGCGGACAAGCTGGTCCCCAGGGCCAATAGGACCTATGCTGTGACGGAGAACCTGGTCCACAGGGCCAATAGGCCCTATGCTGTGGCAGACAACCTGGTCCACAGAGCCAATAGGACCTATGCTGTGGCAGACAACCTGCTCCACAGGGCCAATAGGACCTATGCTGTGGCGGACAACCTGGTCCACAGCCTATGCTGTGGCGGACAACCTGGGCCACAGAGCCAATAGGACCTATGCTGTGGCAGACAACCTGCTCCACAGGGCCAATAGGACCTATGCTGTGATAGACAACCTGGGCCACAGGGCCAATAGGACCTATACTGTGGCGGACATCCTGGGCCACAGGGCCAATAGGACCTATGCTGTGGCAGACAACCTGCTCCACAGGGCCAATAGGACCTATGCTGTGGCGGACAACCTGGGCCACAGAGCCAGTAGGACCTATGCTGTGGCAGACAACCTGGTCCACAGGGCCAATAGGACCTATACTGTGGCGGACATCCTGGGCCACAGGGCCAATAGGACCTATGCTGTGGCAGACATACTGGTCCACAGAGCCAATAGCACCTATGCTGTGGCAGACAACCTGGTCCACAGAGCCAATAGGACCTATGCTGTGGCAGACAATCTGGTCCACAGGGCCAATAGGACACTATGCTGTGGCGGACAACCTGGTCCACAGGGCCAATAGGACCTATGCTGTGGCGGACAACCTGGGCCACAGGGCCAATAGGACCTATGCTGTGGCGGACAAGCTGGCCACAGGGCCAATAGGACCTATACTGTTGTAGACAACCTGGGCCAATAGGACCTATACTGTGGCAGACAACCTGGGTCACAAGGCCAATAGGACCTATGCTGTGGCGGACAAGCTGATCCACAGGGCCAATAGGACCTATGCTGTGATGGACAACCTGGTCCACAGGGCCAATAGGACCTCTGCTGTGGCGGACAACCTGGTCCACAGGGCAAATAGGACCTATGCTGTGGCGGACATCCTGGTCCACAGGGCCGATAGGACCTATGCTGTGGCAGACATCTTGGTCCACAGAGCCAATAGGACCTATGCTATGGCAGACATCCTGTTCCTTAGGGCCAATAGGACCTATGCTGTGGGGGACAACCTTGTCCTTAGGGCCAATAGGACCCATGCTGTGGCGGACAACCTGGTCCACATGGCCAATAGGACCTATGCTGTGGCGGACAAGCTGGTCAACAGGGCCAATAGGACCTATGCTGTGACGGAGAACCTTGGCCACAGGGCCAATAGGAACTATGCTGTGGCAGACATCCTGGTCCCCAGGGCCAATAGGACCTATGCTGTGATGAACAACCTGGTCCACAGGGCCAATAGGACCAATGCTGTGGCGGACAACCTGGGCCACAGGGCCAGTAGGACCTATGCTGTGGCGGACAACCTGGGCCACAGGGCCAGTAGGACCTATGCTGTGGCGGACAACCTGGGCCACAGGGCCAGTAGGACCTATGCTGTGGCGGACAATCTGGTCAACAGAGCCAATAGGACCTATGCTGTGGCGGCCAAGCTGGCCACAGGGCCAATAGGACCTATCCTGTTGTAGACAACCTGGGCCAATCGGACCTATACTGTGGCAGACAACCTGGGCCACAAGGCCAATAGGACCTATGCTGTGGCGTACAGCCTGGTCCACAGGGCCAATAGGACCTATGCTGTGGCGGACAACCTTGTCCTTAGGGCCAATAGGACCTATGCTGTGGCGGACAACCTGGTCCACAGGGCCAATAGGACCTATGCTGTGGCAGACATCCTGGTCCACAGAGCCAATAGGACCTATGCTGTGGCAGACATCCTGGTCCACAGAGCCAATAGCACCTATGCTGTGGCAGACATCCTGGTCCACAGGGCCAATAGAACCTATGCTGTGGCAGACAACCTGGTCCACAGGGCCAATAGGACCTATGCTGTGGCGGACAAGCTGGTCAACAGGGCCAATAGGACCTATGCTGTGGCGGACAACCTGGTCCACAGGGCCAATAGAACTCATGCTGTGGCGGACAACCAGACATTTTGTTGTATCGTACTATCTGTCCAGACTTCGTTTTCTACAAGATGTTTAAATTCTTATTTAGTTTTGACAAAAGTTGGTAACTATGTTCATTATTCAAACAATTTTACAGCTGTGACAAGTATGATTTTTGCACAATATTTGTCAAAAAAAATTGAAAACAGTAGTTGACTTCAAGTCTTTTCAAATTTTCCAAAATCATTGACAAAATAATATTATAAAAAAATGTATGGGGGGGGGGGGGATTATGGTATTTTGACTAAATTTGATCTGCAGCATCCTTTGGCCAAGGGGACTCAATTATGTATAGATGGTTGGTGACGCCATCTAGGGGCAGACGGGCAGGGCCCAATAGGGGAAATAGAGGTAAAACCTTTAAAATCCTTCTCCTACCGTAAGGATTTAGGGATTTTATCCTAATTAAGTCTGGAGCATCCTTAGACGAAGGAGACTCAATTTTGTATAAATGGTTGGTGTGCCCCCCCCCCCCTTGGGTCAGAGAGGCGGGGCCCAATAAGGGATATAGAGGAATGTCTTTAATATCCTTTTTTAGGTCAACTGAGCTTTGCTCAAGTGACCTATTCTGATCACTTTCCTTCCGTTGTTGTCCGTCGTGCGTCTGTGAACTTTTTACATTTCCAACTTCTTCTCAAGAACCAGTGGATTGAATTTTTTTCAAACTTGGTCAGAATCATCTTTGGTAGATGAAGCAACAAAATTGTAAAATTGGGATTCCTACCCCCACCCAAAGGGAAAATTAATCAATTTTTCAAAAATACTTCTCCAGACTCAGAGGTACTACAGTCATTTTCTCTCCATGGATGGAAAGATCATCAGGGGCTTTATTAAAATTGTAAATTTCAGGACGCCGCAGTTATCCATTCTCCCTTGTGGAGGGCATAAAGTTTACTATAGTTTATATAGGGAAACAACACTTTTGGGTATATTTCGACAATTTTCTGTAGGAAATTATTCCTACTTAGTGAGAATTATCCTTGGAGGAAGATGATTTTAAATTGTAAAATTGGGATTCCTACCCCAACCCTAGGGGCCAGGGCGGGGCCCCAAAGGGAAAATTAACCAATATTTCAAAAATCTTCTTCTCCAGACTCAAATTCTTATCCTTTGATGACATGGCAAGTATTGTATTTCACATGCTGATTTTCACATCACATCTAAACAATAAAATAAAGCTACCAGTACCTATGATATAACTCAGGTGACCACTAAGGTCCTTGGGCCTCTTGTTTTTCGTTGGAATGAAGGTATTTCGACCAATTTTGAACAGTAGCATCCTATTTGGAAGGGAAATCAATTTTGTATAAATGGTGGGTTCGAACCCCTGGGGGCAGAGGGTAGATATATTGACTATTTGGCACAGGTTTTTGTAACTAAACATTGTATTAATCCACCAGAATAGGTAGATATATATGTAGGACCAGTGTGAAGTTGGTTACTTCTGCAATATTGGGCTGGCTCAATGTTAGACCAGTGTGTAGTTGGGTTACTTATTCAATATTGAGCTGGCTCAATGTTGGACCAGTGTGTAGTTGGTTACTTATTCAATATTGGGCTGGCTCAATGTTGGACCAGTGTGTAGTTGGTTACTTACTCAATATCGAGCTGGCTCAATGTTTCAAAATTGGGCTGGCTCAATGTTAGGCCAGTGTGTAGTTGGTTACTTATTCAATATTGGGCTGGCTCAATGTTGGACCAGTGTGTAGTTGGTTTCTTATTCACTATTTAGCTGGCTCAATGTTTCAATATTTAGCTGGCTCAATGTTGGACCAGTGTGTAGTTGGTTACTTATTCAATATTGGACCAGTGTGTAGTTGGTTTCTTATTCAATATCTGGTTGGCTCAATGTTTCAATGTTTAGTTGGCCCAATGTTGGACCAGTGTGTAGTTGGTTACTTATTCAATATCGGGCTGGCTCAATGTTTCAATATTTAGCTGGCTCAATGTTGGACCAGTGTGTAGTTTGTTTCTTATTCAATATCGGGCTGGCTCAATGTTTCAATATTTGGCTGGCTCAATGTTAGACCAGTGTGTAGTTGGTTACTTATTCAATATTGGGCTGGCTCAATGTTGGACTAGTGTGTAGTTGGTTACTTATTCAATATCGGGCTGGCTCAATGTCGGACCAGTGTGTAGTTGGTTACTTATTTAATATTGGGCTAGCTCAATGTTTCAATATTTAGCTGGCTCAATGTTGGACCAGTGTGTAGTTGGTTACTTATTCAATATCGGGCTGGCTCAATGTTTCAATATTTGGCTGGCTCAATGTTAGACCAGTGTGTAGTTGGTTACTTATTCAATATTGGGCTGGCTCAATGTTGGACTAGTGTGTAGTTGGTTACTTATTCAATATCGGGCTGGCTCAATGTCGGACCAGTGTGTAGTTGGTTACTTATTTAATATTGGGCTAGCTCAATGTTTCAATATTTAGCTGGCTCAATGTTGGACCAGTGTGTAGTTGGTTACTTATTCAATATCGGGCTGGCTCAATGTTTCAATATTTGGCTGGCTCAATGTTAGACCAGTGTGTAGTTGGTTACTTATTCAATATTGGGCTGGCTCAATGTTGGACTAGTGTGTAGTTGGTTACTTATTCAATATCGGGCTGGCTCAATGTCGGACCAGTGTGTAGTTGGTTACTTATTTAATATTGGGCTAGCTCAATGTTTCAATATTTAGCTGGCTCAATGTTGGACCAGTGTGTAGTTGGTTACTTATTCAATATCGGGCTGGCTCAATGTTTCAATATTTGGCTGGCTCAATGTTAGACCAGTGTGTAGTTGGTTACTTATTCAATATTGGGCTGGCTCAATGTTGGACTAGTGTGTAGTTGGTTACTTATTCAATATCGGGCTGGCTCAATGTCGGACCAGTGTGTAGTTGGTTACTTATTTAATATTGGGCTAGCTCAATGTTTCAATATTTAGCTGGCTCAATGTTGGACCAGTGTGTAGTTGGTTACTTATTCAATATCGGGCTGGCTCAATGTTTCAATATTTAGCTGGCTCAATGTTGGACCAGTGTGTAGTTGGTTACTTATTCAATATTGGACCAGTGTGTAGTTGGTTTCTTATTCAATATCTGGTTGGCTCAATGTTTCAATATTTAGCTGGCCCAATGTTGGACCAGTGCGTAGTTGGTTACTTATTCAATATTTGGCTGGCTCAATGTTAGACCAGTGTGTAGTTGGTTTCTTATTCAATATCGGGCTGGCTCAATGTTTCAATATTTAGCTGGCTCAATGTTGACCAGTGTGTAGTTTGTTTCTTATTCAATATCGGGCTGGCTCAATGTTTCAATATTTGGCTTGCTCAATGTTAGACCAGTGTGTAGTTGGTTTCTTATTCAATATCGGGCTGGCTCAATATTGGACCAGTGTGTAGTTGGTAACTTATTCAATATCGGGCTGGCTCAATGTTCATTGTAAAACACATCACGAACATTCTCGAGCAACACCACCCTCTTACCACACTACAGCACTGTTGAACGTCTGGCCATTGTTGTACGTCTGGCCATTGTTTGACGTCTGGCCATTGTTGTGAAACCCAGCTTGTCATCATCATGCATGACATCATGAAATTATTTGACAATAATCGTTTTGGACTGCAGTACAATTTTTGACACTGTCCCTCATTGGAAACTACTTCATAAACTGGAACATTATGGAATCAAAGGGAATTTACTCTCCTGGATAAACGCTTTCCTATCTGACCGACAGCGACGAGTTTAAGTCGAGAGAGTAATTCCACAGAGGACAGATCCGAGTACTGATTTCTCTGCCCTGTAAACGATCTACCATTTATGGTATTATCATCATTCCGCCTGTTCACCGACGACTGTCTGCTATACAGAGGCGAAAATTAATCTCTGATCAAACACAGCTACATGGGGTATGAGCTTCAACTAAAAAAATGCTCAAACTCAAATAAAGTAAACAACAAGCCCTATTTAGGCCTTCTGATCAGGGACAATCTATACTTTAATCACATATCAGCAACATAGCAAACAAAGCAAATTCTACATTAGGATTTCTAAAGAGAAATTTAAAAGTCTGCCAAACTACATTGAAGAAAACGGTCTACAGCATTCTTGTTCGCTTAGTTTTGGAATACGGTGACATTATCTGAGACACTTACATGTAAAAAAGATAATGACAGGTAAAAAAAACAAGGGCCTGCAGTAAGATTCTTAAGGAATAATTACAGCAAACACTCTAGTGTAGCCCAGTGAGGAAATTTCTGGACCTGAAACCTAGGGTTTTTGTAGCTGCTACTTGTATGTAATTTAGGTGGGGGATCGGGAAAAGAATACACCTGTTGCCCACTGCATGTATCGTAGGAGGCGACTAATGTGGGAACCCACTGCAGAATTGGGGATTTGTTTTGGTGTCCTCTATTCGGGGACACAAAAGCGACCAAAATAAATCTGCTGCGCCCATTGCAATAGCTGGGATCTTAATTCTACTGCTAACTACCTTTTATTTCCTAGCGCCTGGCTTGGCAACACCTCACGTTTGGCCTTAATGTTAAGCGTTCGCCCGGGTGAGGAAGGCAATGGGCTCTGTCCCCAGTCCGGGACATACCAAAGTCCTTAAAAATGGTAGTTGTTATTCCCTGCTTAACGTTCAATATTTAGGGGAATGGTAGCAAATGGTTCACTAGTTGTCAGTAAAATGTGACCGGGCGGAATTTGTAATTACTTACTGTATTTAAAATTGTTATTACTTAGTGTAATTAGAATTTGTAATTACTAACTGTAATTATATATACTTTAAGCTACTTTTTGTGACTCATTATTACTCTATTTACCGTTAAGTTGAGGAAATATGTCACCATTTCAATTGGAATTCAACTCTAGCCTGTGATGATCGAGTTGCTTGTCTACAAACGATTGCGAGTTTACAAGCCACATACGCTGTTGGTACTCTTATTACAGAATGGTAAAATAAAAGATTGGTGTGAACAGGATTGTTTTGGTCTTTTGCATTTTAAATAAAAAAGATATTGGTATAAATGTTAAATAAAAGTGAAATAT